GCCACCAGGCTGTGCTCTGGGTGGGAACCTGTTGGGTTCATCCCAAGCAATTCACAGGCTGAGCTTGGTGGAAGAGCAGATGGGTTGAGGTTAGGAAATCCCCATAACTCCCATGGAAATCGCTGGGGGGTGGAGGCCACAGCCCCTGTAAATGCTCCCCGTGGTGGCAGCTGCCTGGTGGGTGACCTCTGGCCATCCCCCAGGCCACAGACTCTCTCCTGTTTTGCAGGTGAGCCCAACACTTTGTTCCGGAGCAACTCCCTGGCCTCAAAGTCAATGGAATCCTTCCTCAAGGTACCACACTGCCCAGGTCACCCTGGCTCTGGGCCATCCCCACTGGTGGGACTGGTTCCCAGGGAGAGTACTGGGAAGGCTGGTGGGGCTGTGTCTTCCCCTGGGGCTGGGAGGTTGGAGAAAATCCTCTGGGAGACCCTTATCGGGGAGTCTGGGGGTGTTTGGGTGCCAAATTTGTGTCCTTGTCCCCATGACCATCCCTTGTGCTGTCCCTTGGCAGGTGACAGGGATGCCGTACCTCCACGCCGTCCTGGGACCCACCATCACTCGTGTGTTCGAGGAGAAGAAGTACGTGGAGCTGGACCCCAGCAAGGTGGAGGTCAAAGATGTCGGGTAAGGGGTGCAGGGGGCTGGTGGGGCAGGGGGGTGTCTGGCCGTGGGGCTGACGGTGCTGGTGCCCGCAGGTGCTCGGGGCTGCACCGGGTGCAGACGGAGGGTGAGGTGATGGAGCAGGGCCGCCAGCACCTCCAGTCCTACCTGGGCGAGCTGCTGGACGCCATCGGCAAGTCAGCCCCAGCATGTCCCCCCGTCATCCGCGCCGCTTTCCGGCAGCTCTTCCAGCGCGTCGGGGAGCGCTTCCCCCAGCACCAGGTTGGACCACGGTGGGAGATAGACCTAGGGGGGGTGGTTCAAATGGGGACATCCCCCAGGTGCAGTCCCCAGCTTTGGTTGAGGAGGTCCGTTTTTGGGCATGGGGGCAGCTCCCCAGGGACAGGGTGCAGGGGGACAGTGGGGCCATGCTGCACCCCAACAGCAACCCTGGTGCTGGAAGTCATGGCTGGGGATGTTCTGCGTTGGGGTAGAGTCTCATGTGTCTCCTCTTCTTCGGATGGTTGCAGCACATCAAGTTCGTGGCCGTCACCAGCTTCCTCTGCCTCCGCTTCTTCTCGCCGGCCATCATGACCCCCAAGCTCTTCCACCTGAGGGACACACACGCCGACGCACGCACCAGCCGCACGCTGCTGCTCCTGGCCAAGGTGGGACGGGGCAGGGGGACACCAGGAGGGTGGTGGTGTCACCCAGGTCAGGGTCTTGGGGTGCTCAGCTGCTTCCCATTGGGGAGGGCTGTGTCCACTTGCTGGTGACGCCGCCATCCCTGGGGGGTCTCCAGGCTGTCCAGATGGTGGGTAACATGGAGCCGGCGGCCGGGCGGGCCAAGGAGCCCTGGCTGGCCCCGTTGCTGCCTGCCCTGCAGCAGGGCATCTCCCAGATGAAGGACTTCATCTCCCGGCTGGTGGGGATGGAGGAAGAGGAGGAGGAGGAGGAAGGTGAAGGGCGGCCACCAGGCCCTCCTGCCTCAGTGGTGAAGGAGGGGCCGCTCATCCTCCACAAGACGCGGGGCAAGGGGCCGCTGCTGGTCGCTGCCAAGAAGCTCCATTTTTGCCTCACCGGGGAGACCCTCAGCTTCAGCAAGAGCCCCAGCGCCGAGGTAAGGGGGTGCTGGAGGGGCGGTGGGGGTGGCAGTGGGGTGGCACTTGGGTCACATCCCATCCACATACGCCCCCTCACCATCAGCGTATGGGCACCATCGCCCTGGCCAACATCCTCGCCGCCGAGAAGGTGGAGGAGAAGAGCTTCGGGAGCTCCCATGTCATGCAGGTGGTCTACGTGGACGCGGGCGGGCAGCAGGAGACAGCCTACCTCCAGTGCAAGGTGGGACGGTGGGGGGACACCCAGAGGGGTGTCACAACCTGGGACGGCCCTCCATCACTGTCCTGTCCCCCTCCTGCAGTGCGTCAACGAGCTGAACCAGTGGCTGTCGGCCCTGCGCAAGGTGTGCGGCAACAACCCCCGCGTGCTCCGCGCCTACCACCCCGGCGTCTTCCGCGGGGACAAGTGGAGCTGCTGCCACCAGAAGGAGAGGACAGGTACCAGGGAGGGGACCCACGGGGGGTGCTGGTGGGTCCCGTCCCCTCTCTCCGCCATCATGACCTCCCCTGTCCCACAGGACCAGGCTGTGACCGGACCCGGCATGGAGTCACCCTGCAGGAGTGGAGTGACCCTCTGGACCCCGCAGCGGAGGCCCAGCGCCTCTTCCACCATCTCCAGGGTCTCCAAGGGATGCTCAGGTGAGACCCCCCCCACCCTGGGGAGGACCCCTCCCTTATGCCCCCCTGCACCCCCTGCCAAGGGCCTGTCCCTCTCCCCAGGGAAAAGTACTGGGAGCTGCTGGAGACGGAGGAAGCCCAAGATGGTCCCAAGGGTGAAGGTAGGTAGGGGTGTGGTGGGATGCCGTGGTTGGGATGTGTCCCCAGAGGACGGGGATGGCTGTGGTGGCTTTGGGGGAGTTCAGGGTCTCATTGTTCAACCCCCCACCCCCATAGGTGCCCCCCTGCCCGAGGGACTAAGCCGGCTCTTTGGGGTGCTGGGGGAGCTGGAGGGGGGCCACCGCCTGGCACAGCCCCCAGATCCCCCGGCCCCCGCCCTGCTGCAGCTGCAGGCGTGAGGGGACCACCCGTGGTGGGTGTCCCCACGCCTTGGGGACCACCATCATGGCAATAAAGGCACTTTGCACCCTGCAGCTGGGTCCTGTCTGTCTCTGGTGGGGATGCTGCCGGCCATGGGGACGGGCAGTGGGTGGGGGACTGGCCAAAGCTCTGCTGGTGGCACTGGTGGTGCTACTGATAGTGGCACTGCCTGTGGTGGCATTGGTGACATTGCTGATGGCCCTGCTGGTACAACTTCTGGTGGCCCAACTGGTGGCAGTGGTGGCATCACTGGTGGTTCTGCTGGTTAGCACAGTGAAAGCACTGGTGGTGCTAGTGATGGTGGCACTGGTGGAAGTGCTGCTGGTGACACTAGTGGTTCTACTGGTAGCTCCAGTGTGTGGTAGCACTAGTGGAAGTACTGCTGGTGACGCTGGTTGGTTCTACTGGTGGCTCCAGCAGGTGGTGGCACTGGTGGAAGTGCACTGGGTGGTAGCACTGGTGGCGACACTGGTGGTGACACTGGTGGTTCTACCGGTGGCTCCAGTGGGTGGTGGCACTGGTGGAAGTACTCCTGGGGGCACTGGTGACTCTAGCAGGTGGTGGCACTGGTGGAAGTGCTGCTGGTGACACTAGTGGCTCCAGTGAGTGGTGGCACTGGTGGAAGTACTCCTGGGGGCACTGGTGGCTCTACTGGTGGCTCCAGCGGGTGGTGGCACTGGTGGAAGCGCTGCTGGTGACCCTAGTGGTTCTACTGGTAGCTCCAGCGGGTGGTAGCACTAGTGGAAGTACTGCTGGTGACGCTGGTTGGTTCTACTGGTGGCTCCAGCGGGTGGTGGCACTGGTGGAAGTACTCCTGGGGGCACTGGTGACTCTAGCAGGTGGTGGCACTGGTGGAAGTACTCCTGGGGGCACTGGTGGCTCTACTGGTGGCTCCAGCGGGTGGTGGCACTGGTGGAAGCGCTGCTGGTGACCCTAGTGGTTCTACTGGTAGCTCCAGCGGGTGGTAGCACCAGTGGAAGTACTGCTGGTGACGCTGGTTGGTTCTACTGGTGGCTCCAGCGGGTGGTGGCACTGGTGGAAGCGCACTGGGTGGTAGCACTGGTGGCACTGCCGGTGACACTGGTGGCTCTACCGGTGGCACTGGTGGAAGCACTGCCGGTGACACTGGTGGTTCTACTGGTGGCTCCAGCGGATGATGGCACTGGTGGAAGCACTGCTGGTGACACTGGTGGTTCTACTGGTGGCTCCAGCGGGTGGTGGCACCGGTGGAAGCACTGCCGGTGACACCGGTGGCTCCACTGGGTTGGTCACCCCGGCAGGCGTGGCGCCCCTGCGCTGAGTCCTCCCATCCGCCGGGGGGCGCTGTCGCCGCCGGCCGCGGCCGGAAGCGGGGCGGGCTGGGCTGAGTGGGGCGGGCTGAGTAGCGGAACGGCGGCGGGATGAACGCGCCTCCGGCCTTCGAATCCTTCCTCCTCTTCGAGGGCGAGAAAAAGTAAGGTTTTCCACCATCTGCCCCCCTGGGTCGGGTCGCAGATCGCCTTCGGGCCGCGGGGGGGTCGGAGGGGAGCCCGGGCCTCCCCTCCGACCCCCCCGCGGCCTATGTGGGGATGGGGGGGAGCCGCTCCCTGAGGTAACGGCCTGTATCCCCTCAGGATCACCATCAACAAGGACACCAAGGTGCCCAACGCCTGCCTGTTCACCATCAACAAGGAGGACCACACGCTGGGGAACATCATCAAATCGTGAGCTGTGGGGGGGAAGGGAGTAAATTTGGGGGGGGGGGGGTGG